TTCCTCTTGGCTCCGGGAGCCCTATTAGTTATTTGTCGGCGTTCAAAACCCTGTTGAGTCTTTCCCATCTGACTTCTTCTCTTAACAGCAGCTTTATTGCTCTGGGAATTAGCGGTGGCAAAGGCGACACGCGCTGCTCACTGAAGCCGTCCCAAACGCGACCGTGTCCGAGCCCACGGGCTGCTCAGAGCCGCGTTTCACCCCATCGTGTCCTCGTTACCGTCTGCACCGTGGCCACCACAACCACAATTTCCTCCTCCATCTCCATCCCCACCTGCAGCCCCTTCTCCCCATGGAGCTTCTCCTTTCCCTCTCCATCCAGGCGGGATGCGCTGTGCTCCCCGCTTTGCTCAGGTCCCTATCGGCCACCCCGGTCTCCTGCATGGCCACACACCGGGCAAACCCCTTTCGCCGCCGCCACCGGCCCCTCGTTAATTTGTACTGCAGCGTGTGTCGAGGGCTGACGTGTAATTAGAGCTCCTGAAGCCTGTCTCATGCTGTAATTGCCGTGACAGGGGCCACAGCATATCCGCTTGTTAATTAGTAAACCACAATATCCCGGGGGCTCGTTGAGAGCTGCCTTAATTGTATTTCAGCTGGAACAGAGGGATAATTACCCTTCGCTAGCACTGCCACTTTTTAATTCCTATTAAAAAAAAAAAAAAAGGAAACAAAGAAAAACCCAAATCGAGCTCTTCCTCTTGGCATCCACTTCCTCTTCCTCCCCTCGGCCGCACGGGGAGCTGGTTTTGCCCGGGTTTAGAGGAACGGCTCTGCACGACTCTGCGTGTGGGGATGAGGCCGGGGGGCACCGTCGTGCTCCCCTGCTGTCCCTGCGGCTGCCCAGGCTTCCCGTCGGGATGGACGGGCTGGACGTCTCGCCCGGGGCTCTCCGCGCGCTGCGGCCGCGCGCTCCGTCCCCGTCACGAGGATGTGCCTCCCGTTCCGCCCTTACAGCTGTGCTGCTGCGGCTGCAACCATCTGGCACAGCCTCTCCCCACTGCCTTTAATGGCCTAAGTCCAGCATCCAGCACGTTAAAAAACACCCTGCCAGCATCACTCATGTTTCATATCCCTGACGGAGCAGGACCTCAGTGTGCTCCGTGCTGCATGTGCAGCCCCGAAAAGGGGCTCTGCTCCAGAGACCTCACACTACAAACCCCTCGGGGCAGCAGGGCTTTGATGGACCCTGGAGACAGATCATCTCCCCTTCAGATCCCCTCCTTGGCAAACCCCATCTCACTGGGCAACCGAGAGTCTTCTGGGCCTCGGTTAAAAGCTTTCCCTTCAAAGCATGGAAACGCTGTCCCTGGAGGGTGTCAATGTTCCTGCCGCCCTCTTAGTGCTCGTGGGGGGACCAGCAGAGCTTGCAGTCATGAGCGTGAGGGAAAAGGAGCCCGTTGAGGTCAGCATCACCCTTCTGCAGCCCACCACGGAGAGGGCAGAGCTCTCTTCCTGCCACGCTCTAGGGGATCTGTTGGCTGCTCCAGGATCTTGTGGGGAGGCTGAATGGGAAGCGGTGCTAGTGCAGGACATCCTCACTTTTCCTGTGCCTCTTCCAAAAGTGATACAAAGAGCTCAGGTGCCATCAGCCCTGCTGGCTCCCGCTGCTCAAAAAATCTTATAATGGACCTTCTTATAATGGCCTTCGGAAGACAGTTTGTGAATTGGTTTAAATAACAGGCTTGGCTCTCTCCTAGGAAGCTACACGGAGGTCAGCCTTGAAGAAAAGATCAGTACAGCAGCTCCAAGCATTAGCAGCAAGAAATAACTGAAGTAAAGAGCCTTGAGCATAATTACAGCCTAAGAGCCGTGGTGGCAACTCAGTGACCTGAACCCATCTCCTGGACTTTAGTGCAATCAACAGATTGACACTGCTGGGTCCTGAAGGCTGCTTTTTGGAAGCCATGCAGCAGGGCTAAATGCCTGAACGGGCAGAGAAGCAGCACAGGTGCCTGTTCCAACGGCTGGAGCTGGAAACACGTCTCAAATGCCAGGGAAGAACCAGATGGAGGCAACCACTGGAACGCTCCGTGCATAATTGAGGGCACCTTCAAGGGTGAGCAGGAGGTGGCTGCCTGCGTCCAGGACACTGCCTATTGCTGCCACAGTGCAAGTCCCTGTCATTAGAGCTGGCCGTGCAGTTTAGAGCCGAGTAACCACAACAGCTTTGCACAAATTAAGCAGCATACTGCAGGTTAATTAGATTTCTTACTGCTGCCTCCATTAACTTAGCCCTGTCATCTGCTGTCAGAAGGGGATGGAGCCCCTTTGCAATTCATGGCCTTCGTCACGCGGAGATGTGGATCTCTAAACCTCTGCCGGGGCAGCCATGGGTGGGAGATGCCACCTTCACCTCCTTGGTAGATGACACCGGTTGGAGATGCCGGTGCCTGCCATCAGTGCAAGGGCCAGGGTGATTTTTCCCTGCTCACATTTCCAATCCCACCCCTTCATAGGACGATCTTTAAAAGAAATAAAAAGCATATTTTGAGGCAGAATCACATCTCCATTGTTCTGCGGGGAGCTGTGTGACTGCAACTAATAAAAACAGCTCTCTCAAAAAAAAAAAAATCTGAGAATGCTGCTTTACGTTTTTAAACCAATTTCCTTTGACTGTGTCAGTGCCTGTTTTGTGTTTGCTAGACAATTATGTGGCTAATGAGGACAGCCACAGTTACATTAGGCGGGATTAGGAAGAATAAGGCTACAAACGCTTCAGTGCCTAAGACAACCACTAACTAATGGGGTCCAGGAGGGCAGGCCCCAGGAGCAGGCGGCTCCTCGGCGGCTTCCCGGCTCGGGGAGCCGGGCTGGGCCCCGTGCACAGGGAGCAGAAGGTGACGCTGCCTCCTTGTCCCGCGGCAGCGTCACCTCCTTGTCCCAGCCCTGCTGCTCGTGGGAAATGAGAGCGTTTCCTGGGAAATCAGGGAAAGTATCAGGGGAAATGCTTGGTGAGTGTGTGACCCTGGCTGCTTCTCGTGGAGCATGTGGCTTTGCGGGAGGTTGTCCCACAGACACACAAACGAACCCTCTGAAGAAGCAGGAGGACCCGGATCCCAGGTGCTGCCATCCTCAGCCTCCCACTCTGCTCAGCAAAACCAGCTCAGAGCCTCGAGACCCAGCAGACAAACAGAGCTCTCGCTGCAGAGGGATACGTTAGTTGAAAACCTCCCATCCTTACTCTCCTACTGGCACGAGAAAGCAGCTCTGCTCCGAAAACAGGTACTAGCAGCAGATGAGGAAGGTGCCCGGCCCCGCGGGCCGCCCGGGCAGGCGCAGGGGCAGCAGCGCCGGCGCTCGCTGCCGTCTCCGTCAGCTCTGCAGCCGGCCCTGGAGCCACGCGGCAGCTCGCGGAGCAGGCAGCCGTCCAGACCCTTCCCTTGGCCCTGGGAGTCTGCTGCGGCGCTCCCCGCGGCTGGCGCAAGCCGTGTTCAATGAGCTCTTACAGGCTGCGTGCAGGCGCCCGCTGCCGCGCGCGCTGCAGCGCTGCCGCGCGCTCGAGCACCGCGGTTTCGCCTGCCGCCTTTCGGACCCAGCTCCTTCCGAAACTCTTCACCTGCTGTTCACAGCAGGCTCGCGGGGCAGTATCTGGGGCCGCGTGGTGTGTCCTGGGCGCCGCGGGGGGGTTTTAGCGACCGCTCCTTGCAGCAGGCCCGCTCGAGCTTGCACGGCTGGGCGGACGCGCGGGCAGCGACCGCGTCCCGCTGTGCGGAGACCCGAGAGCTGCGAGGCGGCTCGGGAGCAGAGCCAGACATTGTCAGGAAGCTCCGATTTCAACTGACAGCGAAACACATTTCTGTCCCGCATCCCTTGTATGCCCTGGGGCTGGATGCTGTTATGCCAGAGCACAGAACACAACATCTCCTCAATGCCCTCTTCAGAAAGAGGGTTTCATCCTGTGGCGCAGGTGAAGCTGCAGCCTTGGGAGAGGGAAGGCGAAACACTCATTAAACAACGTGGCAAACAATTTCTACAGAAAAGCGTTGATCCAGAGACTGGGGCGCAGGCAGCCGTGACTGCCCTGCTGCACCAGAGGCGTCTGAGGCTGCCTGGGCGGAAGATGGGAGGTTTTGTGGCCATCAGTCCCTGACCGTGATCTGCTGGCCTTCCCCACTCATCCATCCAGCTGCAAAACTGGGTGAAGAGCAGAGGCCTCACCTTCACAGAGAGACCCTTGGCAGCTGGAGCCCAGCTGGAGCCTGGCAGGGAGCAGATACCCCCAGGATCTCTAGGTTTCATGGTGTTATGGGGCTCTGGCTGCATGCATCTCCGATGGGACTACAGGCAACCACTCACATCAGCAATCAGTTGAACAGAAACATCCTTCCCTGACACCACTCTTGTCTTTCCTCCTAGTTATTAGGGAGGCACAGCCAGCTCCTGGGTTTGCCGAAGACTATGGACAAGCTCTCTCCTCAAATGGAGGAGGAGCTTCATTCCCAGAGCAGAGAGAAGAGAACATCCCCAGAGCAGTCAGGCTTTTCGAGGCAAGAGTTAACCAGCAGAGGAAGGAAATGAGCAAGTCCAGGATGAACTTGCTTGTCCCTTCCCTGTCCTCATTGCAGAATCACTGGCCTGCCTGGGTCTGCAACCCCAATTCGTGGTAGAAGGTGGCACATGTGCTGAAGAGCCTCCCATGAGCACAACAGCTGAATCTCACACCGAGTGACTAATTTGTGCCCTAATTGATGTGGAAACAAATGCCAGAATGCACTGGAATACCGAGAAGTGAAGCTCTCCATCTTGGCTTCCTTCAGGGAAATGGTCTTAATTAAGAGCCTGTCTTGCAAAGAGAGATAATTTCCAGCTATGTGTTGAAACAAGAGCCAGGATGGAGGTTGCGGTTGAGACCCGCACCTTCTCCTAGCAGGGTCCCTCCAGCTCTTGCAAAGGTGGAGGTGCTGGAGGTGCTTCAGTCCTTGTGCATCTCCCAACCCTGGCCAGTCTCCCCTCTCCCTTCCAGGCACTGCCATTCCCGCCTAGGCTGGAGCCCCCACCATGGCCTTTCCAGCTCCATATGAGTTCCTCAGCCCTAAGAACATCCCCTCTCCCACACAGAAGCAGCCCCATTAGTCACTGTCTTATTCAGCCCTTTCCTGCCCAGCGCTGTCAGTGCCATCTCAGGTGCTCACTTGGTGCCCATGCTCCCCATCCATATTTGCATTATGAACACGCAAACTTTGCGTCCCCCACCGATGGCTCTCGAACAAACTGTGCCCAGTGGGGCCTCGCTCCACATCTTGCCCGTGCGGCACCTTGACGCTC